TTATAACCAGTCTATAAAGTAGGCATATTTATCAGTTCTAACAGTGGCAGAAATATGGGAAGATGATTAATAGGTAAGATAACAGGATCAAAATCCAAAACTATTTTGACAGGCTGGAATTATAGGCTGCAAGTAGAAAGAAAAGATATAACGGAGATAGGTCCAAATGTGGTATTTAGGTTCCCCCAAAATTAGCCACATGTACAGAATACGGGGGAAAATCTAGCTTATAAGTAGTTTTTGCAGAAAGAGCCTATGGATTCGAGGTGTCAATAATGAAATGGCTGTAAAAAGCAAATGTAGTCAGGCAGAAATTTGGAGTTCAGTAAACACGGGAAACCATTATTTCACTATACCCTAGGTCAGCTGGACCCTATGCTCTCTGAAATGATGTGTCTTATTTTAGAGCACTATGATTTCTTCCACACATACAAAAGCGCAGACAACAATAAGAAAAATCCCACTCCCCCGGCCTCCCTTAGTAAGCAAAGATGTAACTTGGGTCTCTTGCCTATCCTGTTCTGACTCTATTTGCCTCTGTTCCTCAGTGGTAAACAGTCTCTTGAATGAGGTGAATATCATTCCTAGTCATGTCTTTTATCACATATGAATTTTACAAAAAATATAAGGAAGTGTCTTACATGTTTACACTTTATCTAAATGGTATCTTATTATATGTTGATAACATGTAGCTCCAAGTTCCATTTCATTTTCACTCTAAGAACATGCCACAATTTATCCATTCTCCTGACAATGACATTTTTCACTATTACAAACACATCCATGGATTCATATTGAATTTACAATCAAATTCAAACCCTTAAGCCATTTACATATGACAACTACTACCTTTCTTTTGTAGTTGTGAAGGTGAAGCAAACTGATTTTTTCCCCTGATTATGTGGATACCACATATCACTTTATAAAAATTGGAAATAAAGAACAATTTTAATAGCTGTATGAACTATTTCATCATGTGCATATGTCAATTCATGTAACCAGTCCCTTAATATTTGGTATTAAGATTGTTTTGACAGAAATCATTTGCTATTATAAATCATGCTGTAGCGAATATCTGTGTGAAGAAATATGATCTAAGCCATAGCACGACTGACAAGGCCTTCCTTGGTCTGGCCTGACCACCTCAGACTTCATCTTGTGCTGCTTTCTCCCACTTCACACAATCTAGCCACACTGGCTTTTTCAGCTCTTCCTTGAGACGCTAATTTCATTCCTGTCCTGAGGTCTTTCCATTTGTCATTCCCCGTCCCTGAAATGTTCTTCCCTTGCTCCTTCACTTTGTTCTGATCTTAGCTTAGCTAGGTCTTTCTTTCCCAAATACTCTGTTCCACCGCAGCATCCTCTATGATTTCACCGCACTTTCGTTTTTCTAGTTACTTTATGTCTCTCCCCACAGGCATGCATTTCATAATGGCAAGGATCTCACCTGTATTGTTTATTGTACTCTTAGCACCTAGAAACAGCAACTGGCACACAGGTACTCAGAAAAGATTTGTTGAGTGAATAAATCTATTTACACACTCATGACCATTTCCTTCGTATAAGTTCCTCTGTGTATAATTACTGGATTAGAGGACAGGCACATTTTTTCCCCCAGTATATGTGCTGTCAAAGCAACCATGATAGGAATATTTTCAAGGCTTTGAATAGTACTTTCAAGTTGCCTTCCAGAAAGGTATACGAATTTACACAAAATCTTGGCTGCTTTGAATAAGACAGAGCAAAAGACCAAGTTCTATGACATGCCCTAGAGATAGCACACCAGGCTAACACTGAGCCATTGGCTGATGTTACCTGAGTATGGTCATCAAATTCATCAAAATGCTTCAGAAGTGCTGTTACCCTGTCCATGTTTCTCTATTTTATCCAAAGGGATAGTATGAGAGCACAGTTATCTGAAGGGCTGTGATTAAGAACAATTAGGCTTTGACATAGCCAAGACCCATTAATGGGATGATTTATTATAGGACAGTACATTTCAGCTAAATCATTTCTAACAACTAGTGGAATGGGTAGCTCTGTGAAACCGTGGGCTTCTCCTTACTTTAGCCTTCAAGCAAGTGGAGACCAGATAAACACTTGTTGTGGTGGTATAGAACAGTCACTACACACGTGGTAGATGCAGTCACACAAACGCCCTGTGCCTGAGCTGTGACTCCATCCCATTCTCTCTCATGCCAGGAAGCTGATCTGAATGTAACAGAGGGTGTGTGACTGACACAGAACTACAAATATATATGTACGTGTGTGGGGTGTGTATACACCACAACTGCTGACAATCCACCAGCATGACCCAGTACCGTGGCTGAAAAGTAATAGAAGGATTCTTTTTCTTTCTTTGCAGTGCTAGAGATTCAGTCCAGGGCCTTGCATGTACTAGGTAAGCACTACCACTGTGCTACACTCTCAGCCCATTGTGCTGTATTGTTGTGTTGTGTCATGTTGCGTTGCACTGCATTGCATTATACTGTATTTTGAGACAGGGTCTTGCTAAGTTGCCCAGGCAGGCCTTGAACTCACGATCTTTCTGCCTCAGCTCCAGAGTAGCTGAGATTACAGGTATGCACCACTGTGGGCAGCTCAAGGCTTCTTTTATATGGAGTGGAAAGCACAGGTGAAAGACCTCTGGGCTTCCCTTTAGCCTGTGGTCTCAACCTCTGCTGCACATAAGAAATCTCTGGGGAGCTTTTCAGAAAGGCTAGGCCGAGCGCAGACCAATTAAATCAGAGTACCCGGAGATGGCACCCCAAGTTCCCCGTATTTAAAACTTCCCTTGGGGATTCCAATGTACGAAGCTGGGATTGAGAATGACTGCTTTAGAGACTATGCTTTTGAACTAAGTTCAGTGTTATACTGTATCTCAGGATAAGATCTGGTCAAAATTTTTAAATGGATAACACCAGGCTATGAATTAGGAGACCTGGGCCTTAGCTCTAAATTTAATACTTGGCACGACCACGGCCAAGTCACTTCATCCAAATTCATCTCTATTCCATTAGTAAGAAAGAAACAAAAACATCTGCTCCCTTTTTCTGGCACAGGTGACAAATGAAGTTATTTGTAAAATATTTATAGTGCTTTAATAATAATATCTACATGATATTTTATCCTTCACAAGGTGCTTTTGCATATATTCCCTCTTTTAACTTCTCAGATGCTGTATAACACTATATAAAAGTAGTATCATTACAACCCATTTATATAACTTCGACTTTTACTTTGATTCAGGACATTAGCACTGGAAGGGATTTTATACATCATCTACTCTACTCTAATCTCTTCGTAGCTACTTTCTCTACTATTGCACATAACATGCCCTTCTCCTTAGTATGAGCAGAAAATGTGGCTGAGGGAGGAAGCCAATAGCTCTGCACAAGTCATCATTTTGGTGCCTGCTGTGGCCTCCTTTTCAGTAACCAAGTGATAACACCAGCCCTCCTTAGCCGGGCTGAAGCAATAATAATAAAGATGGCATTCATGCATAGCTAATGTGTCTACAGTAATCTGATCAAGAGAGATCATAGCATCCACATAGGTTGCTAAAAGGGAGAAACTAGACTTTATGCCAATTTGTTCTTCCCTTTGAAGTTCAGTGATAGATACCTCCCAAATTATAAATTAGGGAAAAATCCTGAAACCTAATTTTAATGTTTCAGAATTAGGATTTAACACTGATAGCAGGTATTATTTACTTGCAGTATTTGCTACACGCCCATATTTTCCTTTTAAGTTAGAGCAATAGTACTATGACAAATATGTTAGGTTTTTCTTGAGGACAAGTATACTCATGTTTGCTTCATATTTGGAAAACTTCCCAGAGGTTTTAGGACCTCTACCGTTTGTTTCTCTGTGTACTTCTCAACTCTGCCGCCTATGGATAACTAATAGTAGTAGCGGCAGTAGTGGTAGACCTTTAAATCTATATTCAGCTCATGCTCTTTACTTCACCCATTGGGAAGTATCCATTTTTGTCAATTAAATGAATGACAGACATTCTGTCACATTTTCTCTAAGGGTCTCAGCCCTCTGTGTTCTACCATCTTCAAGTCTTTACAAGATGGTATTCAATTGTGCCAGACACGTTCTCGCTGTTGCTCCCAAGACTGTGGTTCCCTTTCCACCTTATAATGCAGCAAGAGGAACCTCTTCAATGACATCTTCTTAAACTCTACCTCTTTCATTTGGCTCTAAAAACCAAAAATTCATCTTCCTGAGATGAATATGCTGAGGTTCTAGTTATGCTTTGATTTCTTTGCTTTGTTTTCCCATTAAATTATAAGCTCTCACGAAGTACGCTAGCACACACCTATAACCATAGTTACGCATGAGACTAAAGCAGCAGGATTGCAAGTTTGCGGCCAAGCTGGGAAACAGTGAGATGGGATTTCTAAAAATAATCCCAAGCAAACAAACAATCCCCTCCACTCAAAATTATAAGCTTTTTGAGGCCAGTGGCATGTTCTTAGTCCCACTGTTAGCACATGGTACACTGCATTCCTGACAAATCTGACTGAGTGTATGACTTAACACTGCATGGCAGTCTATTCTTATGACATGCTTTGCTCTGGTTCTGTGGTTTCACAAGGCTTGGTTCCCCAGTGGTATATTATCAGCTAATCCAATCAAGTTAAGTTTCTAGAAAAGCAGGTAAGGTAATTTGTAAACTGTTCTTTGTTAATGGAATGTGGCTGCTAGGCATAGTGCAGTCATGGTGGTAAACTATAGTGCCAGGGAAGTTAGTATTGCAACAGAAAACATCTATGGTTGATAACTATGTAGAACTACCGTTGTAAGAAAATAAAGCATGCTTCAAAGTCAGATTTTTTCTAACTAGCCTTAACTTGATGTATTTGAACTTTATTAGCTTTTTCTGTAATTCTGTTTGGCTTTTGATTAATAAACAAAAATCAATAGGCAAGGATGGTGAAGCACCCACTCAGCTTCTGGTCTGCAGTTATTACTGATGTGACCATAATGTGGTGGAAGCAAACTGGACTTGGTGCTAGAATATTCTGTTTGAAGTCCTGAATGTCACCTGGTTTTATGACCTTTGGCAATGAACTTTGGTTATTTCCAAATAATCAAATAAAGTTATTTCCACAACTTTGTGAATTTAAACTCCATTTGTAAAATGCAAATGATAAATACATCATTGGACTTTTTGTGATGATTAAACGATTATATATATGAGAATGGTTTATGAACCTAAGGTGCTACAAAAAATATGGACTGACACAATCACTTTGGAATCAGCTTCAACAAAATGGTATCGAACTGGTAAGATCCTGAAACAACAGAGAGCCAATTTGTCCACTCAGGTGGTCCTCTATGCTGGCTCCAGGTTCTACACGGAGCTGGTCCAGTAAGCCTCCCTTAGTGGAGTTAATTCCTCTGAACAGGATCGAAGGGGCTCGGTTGTAGGACTGGGGCCAGCAAATTCCTAGATCCAAAAGCCGTCTCAATGACAGTGAATACTAATGAGTAGAAGCAGTGACAGAATTAAAGAGCTGGCTCCTACCCCTTGGATGTTCTTCCTGGACACCTTAATTAATTTTGATGGCTTCCATTCCTCATCGTTCCCATTGTCACCATAACCATCGTCATCCTCATGCTCATTCACAGAATGCTCTGAAGATTTTAGATCCTCAATGTCCATGCTTTGCTCCAGGAACTTTTCTTTAACACGGGAAGGTTTTGGCTAAGAAAAAAGGTTTGAAGTGGTTACTCAATAAAAATTTAAAAAATACATATGGCATCATATTTTTCCAGTAGCTGCTGCCAGCTATCTTCTCAGAGCATAGATTTCAGACTCCTCAAATATATCCCACTTGGCTTTACTAATAAAAAAAATCTGCTTCGGTCTTTGGCCTCACAGACTCCTTGAAGGGACGGAAACTGGAGGCTGGTCAATCTGAGGAATGAAGGGAGGACTCATGAAGCGATAAGTATCTCAGGATGGACAGTTGAACATTGTTTTCCCTTCCTCCTCCTTCTCAGTTGTACTACAAAATGCTTGTAAATGGCCAAAAGTCAGTCCTCTGAGGGAGAATGGCTGTTTCCCCTTAGAATTGTACTATAATTTTATTTGAGATGTCAAGGAAAATTGAGATGCTAAAATTTGCAAATTTTATTTATTTATTTTTTTATTTTTGTCTTTTTGAGACAAGGTCTTGCTGTGCAGTTCAGGCTAGCCTTGAGCTCACTTTGTAGCCCAGGCTGGCCTTGAACTCACAACGATCCTCCTGCCTCAGCCTCCCGAGTGCTGGGGTTATAGGCATGTGTCACCATGCCGGGCCTAAATTTGGGAATTTTAACTCTCTTTCTTTTTTTTCTTTTTTCTTTTTTTTTTAAGGTAGGGTCTCACTCTACAGTTTGGCTGGCCTGGAACTCACTACGTAGCCCAGGCTGGCATCGAACTCATAGCAATCTTCCTGCCTTGGCCTCCCAAGTGCTGGTATCACAGGCATGCACCACCATACCTAGCTGGGAATTTTAACTCTTAACCTCTTATAAAAAGTGATTTTAGTACACTCACCCCAAACCTAGGTTATACAAAGGTATCATAGGCAGTAAGCATTTTACCTTAGGTGGGATATATTCAAAGGAAGAGTCTGGAGATAGAAGAGTATCCTTAGGAAGATGAGCTTTCTGCCTGCTGGCTACTTGGAGGAGGGTCAGTTTCTGTTTGAAGAGGAAAGACAGAGTGTATAAAGTAGGGCAGCTTCTGAGGGCATTCACGGCTAAAACACAAGGATTCCTGACCTAGACTGGCTCAATTTTAAACTGTAGTAAAGTGAGGCAGGACCACAGTAGAGTAGGTTTAAGGCCTCCCACGTTCTAAAATCAGTAATAAATTCAGAAAAGGGCATATTTAAAAACTTGTGTTTATGCCACTTTGAAATGCACAAGATGGTATCACAGAGAAACTGAATGCAGACCTCATAAAATAGAGCTAAGCCACCAAACTGAGGGTTGCTCCCAACCACTGGCCTTGGTGGCAACGGGGTTTCCCATGGGTTAAGGGGTAAGAAAGCTTGTATTACCTGCTTCATTATTTCATTCTCCCGGAGAAGCTGCTGGTTTTGCTCACATACTCCTTGCATCTTCTTAAGCTCTTCATCCTATTTCCAGATAGTGCAGTGATAGGCGGGGTTATTTTGGGCATTACATGTGGGTTACCACACAACTCACATAGATGAAAACATACTGCTGCCAAGTCGCTGGCAGCAGATGGTTTTTGCACAGCAGGCATTGGCACTCTGAAAAATGTCTTATTCCCAATTTCTAAGTACCTTGAATACCACTTCTATTCCAATGCTCTGCAGCAGCCCTGACCACACTCATAGGAACCATGGGCTCCGTCCAACGAGCCTCCTTTATTTTTTTTCCCATTCTCTCAAATTTAATGTTGACCTTATGGGGTAATTTGATTCAGTTCTTGTCCAATTCTACTTGTCACCAGAATTGTGGAAAGAATTAAGTTCATGAACGAGGTACCACTGTATCCCCGATTCACATTAGGATGCTGATTCAGAAACCCAGAGGGTTAGCTTTGTTACCGATGCTTCCATTCATCCTTCTCAACGCAGACCAGACAGTTTACCTGCTATTGTAATAAGCCTGATTAAACATCTTGGCACTTAGGAAAACTGGATTCATACCTACAGCTTTAACTAGTTTGGTTACGTCTTAGGTGGGAGGTGCCAAGGAAACCCTAGAGGCTGGTGGTGCAAGAAAAAGATTCTAACTTGGACTAAAATAGTGCTCCAACATGCTACTAAAGGGTGTGGTATTCTCAGCCTCTGGAAGGAATTCAGACCCCAGGCATTTTATAAACATGTCAGGTCTCAGCTCAGAACAAATTCAGGAAGATACAGTTGAATGCCCCCAGGATTCTAAGCAACTACTAGATGATTTTACTTCCTCAACTGTTTAGACCTCAGGGTTGAGGCAAAAGAACAGGAGGTTTCGGAGTATATACTGCTATTTTGGTTCCCAAAATGAAGTTATTCTGTATGTGGCTATACTCCGATTATCCCAAGCTGATAAAATAGAGCCACAAGGAAAAAGGCTACCACTGTAAGCCCTTCTTCAGTAGGTAATAACTCCGCCATAAGGACAATGGTCGAAATAAACGAGACAGTATTCTCAGTCGGTCCTGTGAAGCCCATCTCAGGAGACCCCTCCCTCCTCCTCATACCTGACACTTCAGTGTGCTCAGCAGCTGTTGTTCCTTTTCACTGACTGACTCCTCCAGCTGCTTCTCTGCCATCTGGCTTTGCTGCAGCTGGCTGAGAAGGTATAGCACCTGCAGAAAGACACAACACACTGGGTGATATCAAGGGAGCAAGAGGAAAAAGAAATTTCAACCTAGCTAAGCCGGGTTACTCTAACGTGATTTAGAGGCAAACTCCTGTTCTTTGCTGTTACGGCTGGTGGTAAGCACAGCAGTGATGTTTCCCAGGACATTACTCTTGGGACTCAAATTGAAGGCTAAGAGCTCTTATCATTTTGCTATAGCTGTAAACTCTTTCAGGTTTTTTAATGGCAAAATTTGGAAAAGACAGCATGCCTTTAAAGGGAGCCACTATTTTCTTAAAACCACCAACAAAAGGCAATGGCAGTTTGTGTTTCAGTATAGCTTCTGGGCTTGCCACTTTACCTTCTCTTGGTGCTGTTGCTCCACCCTGACCATTTCAGCTTGCAACTCTGTCTCCATCTCAGCAAACCGATTTCGTTCCTCAAACAGCATCTTCTGCATGTCAGCACAGCTTGCCTTGCTCTGTTTCAGGCTGCTTTCAAGCTTGCTGACCTGTATTTTCGAGGAGACCAGCTGGGTGGGATAAAAGAAGATCAGTTTATTTGGCGAATGACCCACCTTTCCCCATTCTTTAGGTAGGAAAGTTGGCATCTTTCTTTAAATGGTCTGAGAAAAATTCCTTCATGCCAAAGTTCATTCTTACTTTTTCATGTCATGTAGATCTTGACACTGAATACTAACAATACTGTTTTTTTTTTTTTCTTTTTTGGTTTTTCTCCGGTACCGGGAACCGAACTCACGACCTTGCGCTTGTCAGGCAGGCGCTTTTGCCGCTGAGCTAAATCCCCAGCCCCTAACAATACTGTTTTACAATTTGCCTTTATATCCTAATTAGGTTCATATCCCAAATCTCTACCACTAGCTACCTATGTAATTTGGGGTATATTCAAAAATCTATTTTGATTTCCTCATTTATAAAAATGGGGCTAACCCTACTCCTTAGCTCTTAGGTTATTGTGCTGTTAAATTCATCCATGTGGATACGATTTAGAAGAGAGCTGGGTACATAGTTGATGCTCTACAAATGTGACCTGTTAAAGTAACATGTAAATGTTGAATCTGAGTCTCTTAAATGTTTGAGTTTGTAAAAAGAGCCACACTTTCTGGAATTATTTGTAAACAAGGATCTGGGGATTTCCTTGACTAAAGCTGAATATTCCAACCCTTAAAAAGCAAACAAACAAACAAACAAACCCCAATAGTACTGCTCTATTCTTAGACTAAGAGTCTATATTTTTACAGAGACACATCTTAGGGCTGGAAGTCACTGGTAAAGACATTTTATCTCATGCTCTGTTTCGAGGCAAGAATAAACCTAACGAACAGTATTTGACAGCTCTAATATTTTGATATTTAAGGAGTTCTCCCTTAATTTTAAAGAGAAATCCACAGAACACATCCTTATGACCAATTCTGACTTGTCTTAGAATGTCTCTGTTCACATGTTAGAACTTGTAGGCATATTAGCTGAAACTGCAGATCTGGCTCTTTAGGCCAGATTCATATCCTGTGCTCGCCTAGCTTTCCGTTCACTCGTAGCCTAGATGGTGAACATCATAAATACCAGTTTTCACAAGGCTAATCAGGATTCCTCAGTAGAAGAAGCCTACTACCAATCTAACACAAAATATACAAAGGGTGGCATTGCTTCAACTTGTGGGTTTGGACAGAGTTTGTATTCTTGTCTTGAGTGAAAAGTACCTCAATCACCAGTGGTAATTAACTTTCATTCTTCTTGTGACAATGTAAGACATTGTAAGACAATGTAAGATGATTATTTCCAGGTCAGTGGAGATGGCTTTTCCTTAAAATAAATCTTCACATGGCAGACGATGCTTAGATTTCCCTCTTCTAGACTGGTTATTAAACTTTTTGAATGTACACTTCATCAGTGCTTTAAAAGAGTACAACATAATAGTTTATGTTTAACCATGGCCTACTACAGCATCCTGGTCTTCTCCTAGTACCAACAGCTAACATTTACTGAGTACTTGTTATATGCCAGGCATGACATTACCGGTTTGTGAGTCATTAATTTTGTGACTGACTTGTACTTGCTTCTTCCAACATGTACCCACTAAACTCCCTAATGTTAGTGCCATTGGGGTTTCTGCAATGAAAAGTGGCAATGACACTGTGATAGTATTCCAAGGTATCTTATTTCAACCTACCCACCGAAATCCCTAATTGTTGGTAGGGAGAGTGATGTTTACCTCTCCAATTAAATATTTCAGGGCACACTTGGCTTCCAGAATTGTAGCGATATTCTCCCAGCGTTGTTTCGGCCTATCTTCACTTTCCGCGTCCAGGAGTTTCTGTTGGAGGTCAGCAATCTGAGCACTCCTTCAGGGAAAGAGACAGCAGGGCTTACTGTGAGTAGCCTCAACACCAAGAAGGGGAAGGACTTTAATCAGAAACTTCAAAGAATTTTATAGATGGAATAATCAGTTAAATAGTCACTTAAACAACAATTAAAGCCAGGCATGGTGACAAATGCCTGTAATCCCTGCACTCTGGGAAGTTGAGGCAGAAAAATGCCAAGTTCAAACCTAACTGGGTAACTTAGTAAGACCCTGTCTCAAAGTAAAAAAAAAGAAAAAAAAATGGGCATGTAGCTTAGCGCGAAGTCCCTGAATTCAATCCCAATGCTACAAAAACAACAACAAAAACAAAAAAAAAGTTGAGTCATCCGGCTAAAATTTTATACATATCTCAAAACATCTTATAGATTCCAAGACGTTATCCAAATGGTTTTTATTTTACTAACTACTGGTTAAAAGAAACGGGTCAAATATAGCGGGACTTCAAATGACTTATTATAGCTAGGCTTTTGTTGTGTACACTGATTCTACTATGACTTTATCTTGAAGTCATATAAACCAGGACTGTGATGCAGTGGTCTGTTCATACAAGGAAAAGATTTGGATTAGAGACCCAAAGGAAAATCTCCCAAGAATGAACAGGTAGTTTCTCTTTGCTAGAATCAAACACCAAATTGATGGTGTTGTGAGACGTTATCTTAAATTGCTTGATATAGGACAGAGAAGTCTCTAAGATGAGGTAACGTGACCTGACCAAGAGATGGAGGAAGTGGGGAGGAGAAGAGGATGAAAAAAGATGTGTTATGTACATGTACCAATTTCCCACTATGAATGTAATCATTATGTACTGTAAACATGTACTAATAAAAATTTAATGAAAGATACCCTGACCTTGCTTATAGATTCTGGGTGTTTTCTGATCAAGTACAGCCTAGACCAAAGTGTACACAGTATTTCAGTTTCAGTAATTAGTTTCTTTCTCAAATGTGCTATGTCAAGTGAGAGGAAGAATACCAGCAGGTGTTTAAAACATGCAATGCTATGTTGGGTAGTTATAAGGAAGGTAAGTACAAAGGTAATCAGATACAATAGCTCTCAAAGTTTGAGGTCCCGGGACCTCTTCACATTTAAAAAAACGTAGAAATTCTGTTCCTATATGTTATAATATTTATAGTATTATAAATTGAAACAAAATTTACATCAATTCATTTAAAAATTTAAAACCTACTATGCATAAATACATTTAATGAAAAATAACTACATTTTCCAAGATCAAAAACGATTTAGTGAGAAGAGTGGGAATATTTTACATTTTGCAGATCTCTGTAATGTCTGGTTTAATACAAGGCAGTTGGATTCTCACATCTCCCTATGCTCTCAGTTTTTTGTGACATGTCGGTGCAGTTTATGTAAATGAAGATAACCCAGCCTCATATGAATATACAGTCAGAAAAATGAGCAGTATTTTAGTAGCTTTTTTAGATAACTGTGGACATTCTTTAAGACTGTGCTATAGCTTGTCCAACGGTAGTTCCTTAAAGGTTAGATACTGTAGAATCTGAAACTATTATTGTTTCTTTTGGCTTTTATTTATTTTTAAAATTAAATTTATTTTTCAACTAATAGATAAAAACTGATATTTCCATACATGTATATAATGCAATATTTAACAGGTTAAACGTATCTATCTTCTCAAACATTTGTCATTTCTACATGGTGAAAACTTTAAAAATCCTTTCTTCTAGCTTTTTGCAATGTACAGAACATTATTGTTATCTATAGCCACTCTCATGTGAAAGAGCTCACTTGAGCTCCTTATCTAACTATAACTTAGTACCTACTGATCAATTAAAACTATTATTAATAAACTTTTAATACTATCATAGTAAAAATCCATGTGGTGAGCTCACGTTTCCTCTGTGAATTTACATTACAAAAATTTCCTATGTATATGGGAGTGTATATGGATTTAAAACATATAAAATATAGGTGTAGCCGCAGAAACACAAGGACAGATGTCCTTTGACAAAATCTATCTTAGGAAACAATATGTTGAAGTGCGGGTTGTTTCCAAACCACAGGAAATCCTGAGGCAGTTGCTTTAGAGCGACGGATGCTACGGGAGGTTAGGAAGGAAAGTGAGATTAAGTTGGCCCCAGGTAGGGCACGATCACTGGCCAATGCCCTCGTTAAGATTCCATGTCGACAGAGCTAAAATAGATTCCTATTTGAGGTAGCATAAACCAAGTTGGAGTGTTCGGGAGGGAAAATTCAGAGGTTAGGAAGAAATTTGATTTCATGGTTGAGAATGGAAGATGAGGATAAAGATCAGAAACAAATGAGGGAGATTATAAGCAATCAATGCATATCATCATTATTCAGTTTGGGTTGATACTTGTATAGCTGTTAATTGGTCTGGAATGGCTTGAAATATAAATAGATACAAGAAGTATTGTAATAATAAAGTGCCATATTAGGGTAGGTCAAATAAAGAACTAATTCCCATTGGTCTGTTTTGGAATTTGAATGCTTTTTTGCCCATACATGATCTCTAACATGTCATTTTAATAATAGTAGTCCACAGAGTCATACAGGTCCTCCAAAAATTAATATACTTTATTATACAATGTATTTCAAAAGTTGTATTTGTTAATATCATTACTGGCCTTTTTCCGAACAGTTGTGAAAAGCTATCAAGCTTATAGTGGGAAATACAAGTTTTCCAAAATTTTACATTTTTCTTCAAGGTTCTAACTTTATCTTTGGCAACAAATGCTGTTGTTTTCTTGCAAGCGATAAGGTCATTGCTCATTTCTGAGAACGTGACCACCAAGTAATGAAATCTGAATAACCAGTTTACCTTTCAATTATTCTTTCAAATAAAACTGATACTCCATAAAAAGGAGCCCGCTGAACTCACACCTCAAACAATGGTGCAGTGCTTTTCCTGGGGTGGCTGTGGTGCTCGGCACAGAGCAGAAGTGCTTCATGTGTCCTTTCTGTTTCGTCACATATGACATTAAAAAGACATAAACTCAAGGGTCAAGATTCAGTAAAAACAATTTTCACTGCTTTATCAAAGTCACTTTTAAGTGAGACTGGCTCTTTAAAGAATTTTAAATTGAGAGTGTGTGGTAGTGTCAGGTTCATGGGGGTGCCACTTCTTTTGTTCAGCCTAAGGTGTAAATAGTTTTGCCCATTTTTGCTTTTGCACTATTAGTGTAAATGTCAACACAGTAGAGAAGGTAAGTAATGTCTTACTATTAAATGCAAATACGTTTCCCAGTCAGACTCTCTAATAGGAACTTAGAGACACCCGGCGGGGCTGGGAGACTACACTTTAAGAACCCTTGTCTAATATATAGTCCTTTGCTTCAGTCTCTTAGATTGAGAAAACTAAAATCTAAAACAAACACTACGCACAGATAAACTGTACCATGTGTGCCACATAATTAAGTACTGTAAGTCCTAAAGGGAGTGAGTGAACACAAAGATTAGTGAGAGATTAAGTGGAGACTGAGAATGTAGCTCAGTACTAACAGCATGCACGGGTCCTTGGGTTTGATCTCCAGCATCAAAAAAGAAAAATTAGTGAGGGATGAAGAGTCAGGGCAGCCTTGTGGAAGAGGCAGGAGAGAGCACTTCACAGTCATATCAAATGCCCTTTCTTGTCTTTTCTGACACTTCATGTCCCTTATTCCTTCTACTTAGCACCTGCCCATATAGTATTTACCTAATCACTTACTTATGATATGCGTGGGTGTACGTTTGACAATTAGCATTTAAAGAACTAGCCCTTAGTCAGCTGTGGTGGTGCATGCCTGTAATCCCAGCACTCCGGGAGGCTGAGGCAGGAAGATTGCAAATCTGAGTCCAGCCTGGGCAATTTAGCAATTCAGTGAGACCCTCAAAATAAAAAAAATCTGCCCTGATTTGCAGCTTTTGTCAGTTTCTGTGGTATAAATATTTTCGTCATAACCAACTGGAAGTGATCAATAGTTTACCACATTTCTAAAATTGTACCAAATGACTCCAGCGAGTGCACAATTTCTACTTGACAGCAAAGATAGTGCCATTCTTCTCTGTTTATTGCACTAAATGCAGTGCAGCCCAAAGCAGGAACGCAAATGTTGAGTGACTTATAGATGTATTCAAAGATAAACATCTCGTTATATATTACTAAAACCAAATTAAATGATCTCCAATGTATCTAACATGTCTAATAGAGTATATGGTTCAAAATATTGTTACTTTCTTTTATTTTTTCCACCACTGTACATCGTTTTAAAAGTAAGCTTTTGAATCACAAGGTCAATAGGCTCTATTTTTGGTTCCAGGCATAAATGTTTATGCCTTAAAAGATAGTCTTGTTACCTGAGTTCCATTTCAGTCTCTAGGCTTTCAATCTGCTTGGTAATAGAATCCTCTGACTCTGAAACTTGACCAGGCATCTCAGTAAGTGAGAATGTACGCCTCTGTAAAGAAGAGTAGTGAGTGTTAAGGGTAAAGTTCCAAAAGGAAAGTAATCCTCTAAAGCAGTGCGGATTCGTAGGGGATGCAGAGTCTGAATGTTGCTCACATTTTCTCACGAGGGTACTTACCCGAAGTTTAGGAGGAGGATTCTCCCCAGATTCCTTTTTTTCTTTCAGTTGAGCCAGGTCCTGAGCCAGGATCTTTCTATCTTCAAGAAGGTCATTTAGATGCCGTTTGGCTTCCTCAGTACTGACCATAACCTCAATTTCATTTCCAAGCCAATTCTAGAAATCAGGGATGAGGAATCATTGGTTGATGAGCTAGATTCAGCTCCAGACTTAATTTCATTTCACCAGAGCTCAAGTAATTAGAAGTGAGATATCATTTGTATCTCTCAAAGAGGCTTCAATAGCAATATCCCAAAAGGTCACAAGGAAGAGGATTTCAGCTGGATGTGGTGGCGCACACCTGTAATCCCAGCACTGGGGAGGCTAAGACAGGAGGATCACTCTGAGATTGAGGCCAGCCTGGACTATATGATAAGTTCAAGGTCTGCCTGAACTACATAGTGAGACCTTGCCTCAAAAAAAGAAAGAAAAGAGGATATCTACAGAAAATCTTTCTCTAGATGTCCTAGTGTCTCTGTATATCTTGTCTTTAACCTCTCCATTTTCTTAACATTTGTTTTTTGCCTTTAATTAGTTATGATAATAGAACTGAAGACTATTTGTACTATTTTATTTAATAGATAGATATCTATTATAATTTTAAAATGAACAAATGGTAATTTTAAGAAAGAAAACATAATTTGCTAAATTAATTTAAAAAACTAGTAACCTCAGGGCCTGGGAATTTAGCTCACTGGTAGAGCATGTACTTAAGACTATGAAGACTATTTGTACTATTTTTTTAAATAGATAGATATCCATTATAATTTAAAAATGAACAAACGGTAATTTTAAGAAAGAAAACATAATCTGCTAAATTAATTTAAAAAAATAGTAACCTCAGGGCCTGGGAATGTAGCTCACTGGTACAGCATGTACTTAAGATGCAGAAGATTGTGGGTTCAATCACCAGCACCAAAAACAAACAAACAAAAAGCTAGTAGTCATTCCTGAGAACATAGCTGCTTTCAATGAAGATATACCATGTTAAGAGCAATCAAAAGAAAGCTGAAATGGCTATATTTATCTGTCTTAGTTATTTTTCTCTCATTGCGGAGACAAAGTACCCAATGCCCAAACTTAAGGAAGGAAAGGTTTATTTAGCTCACAGTTTGTGGATGTTTTAGTCCATAATCAGCTGGCTCCAATGCAGGGTGGTATGGCAAAGGGGCAATTGTTCATAGTGGGGGAAGATACCAAAAATAACAAGAGCAAAAGGGGGAGGAGTAAGCTTCTTTTCCTCCTTTATATTGTATGCAGGCTACCCCGCCTCAGTGTGGATACAACACTCACATTGCCAATCCCAGCACTAGACAATGAACCAATCACAAACTCCAGATTCAGCCGCCTCTGAAAAGCCTGCCCATCATGACTGCATGAAGCTTTGGGGGGTACATTCCAACACAAACCATAACAATATCAGATTGAGGTAAAATTCCTATGAAAAAAATACCACCAGTGATAAAAGGATCATTTCATCATGATAAAGAAGTCAACTGTTCAAAAGAGAACATAATGTTTGTTCTGAAAAGCAAAGCACCAAAATCTGTGAACCAAAACCATACAGTCAAACCTTGGTTTGCAAGAACAAATAGTTCAAAGGACTTGTATATCAAAGCAGCGAGAGAGAATGACAGACAGAGGGAGCATGCAAGTGAGAGTGAGAGCGAGAGCGAGAGAAGCCAGTTGTGATCTTATGACATTTGCCATTGTGTACTACTTGTATTGCAAGACATTGCTTATTTATCAAGTTAAAATTTCTTAGAAATATTTGCTGGTCTTGTGGAACACTCGCAGACCAAGTTATTTGCAATCCAAGGTTTGACCACATTAAGTCAACAAAGAAGGTAAAAGAACCAACTACATGCTGCCTTTAAGAAATACGTTTTAAAAATGACAGCGCAAAGAAGTTAAAAGAGTACGAAATATCATGCTAAAACTAATCAAAAGAAAGCTGGAAGAATGCATTAATATTAGAAAAATTAGACTTTAGGACAAAGAATATTATCAGGACAAAGAAGTTTATTTCATAATAATAGAGGGGACAATTAATCTTAAACTTTCATGCCTCTAACAACAGGGGACCAAAACATATTCAGTAAAAACAGAACTACAAAGAAAACTAGACAAATCCAAAATTATTGTTGGCAATTTGAATACTTTTTCCCTCAATAACTGATAGGATCTTTCCCTTCTCTTTTCCCCCATCCCAGTTGCCCTTTACCCCTGAGTGTTTTCCTATCATTTCACAATGTCTATCATACCTCCTAGTTTATATTAACTCTTTCAGGTTTTACACTAGTGAGACAATGTGGTGCTTGCACATGCAGGTCTCATTTATTTCACTTATGAGTATGGTCTCTAGTTGTGACCATTTACCTATAAAGGCCTTGAGTTTATCTTTCTTTATAGCTGAGTAATATTCCATTATATAAAAGTACCACAATTTCCTTGATTGATCAATATTGCATGTCTCTACCTGTTTTCATGAGAAACCACTTTGAAGATATCAATATGTAATACAAGAAGTATTGTTAATTTCCTACCACCTTGTTTGCAACTCTGTATTGTCTGTACTGTTTTTTTGCTATTTTGTAAAAGGTTGTCTGTCTGTTAATGTTTTTCTCCTTTTAGTTTTAAAATTAAAAAAAATTGATAGGATAAGTATGCAGAAAATCAATTAGGATACACTAGGAGTGCAGCACAAGCAAGTCAATATGATTGAGATTTATAGAATGCTCTGTACAACAGAATATATAGGCTTCTCAAGTACACACAGAACATTTACCAAGATTGACCATATCCTGGGTCATAAAATTAGTCACAATGAGCTCAAAAATATTCAAGTCATACAAACTATGTTCTCTGACCATGAGTGAATAAAGCTAGAAATCAGTAACAAAAAGATGCTTGGAAAAATCTCCAAATATTTGGAAAGTACATAATATTCTTCTACATAACTCATAGGTCAAAAAGGAAATCAATGGGAAAATCAGAATATATTTTGAGTTGAATGAAAATTAAAATATAATATTATCAAAATGTGGGCCAGGGATATAGCTGAGTGGCACAAGCACCTGCCTGGCAAGTGCAAGGTCCTGAGTTCGATTCCTGGTACCAAAAAAAAAAGCCAAAATGTGTGGGATGTTTTAATAAAAGTATTTAAAGTGGCACTTCTACCACTAAATACCTATATTAGAAAATAATAAAGATTGAAAATCAGTGATGGTAGAATTGCCTCAAGGAACTAAGAAAATAAGAGCAAATTAAATCCAAACAAGCAGAAGGAAATAATAAAGATTGTGGTGGAAACTAATGAGCTCAATTTAAAAAATGTGTTGTAGGGGCTGGGGATTTAGCTCAGTGGCAAAAGTGCCTGCCTGGCATGCGCAAGGTGGTGAGTTCGGTTCCCGGCACCGGAGAAAAACCAAAAAAAAAAATAAAATAAAATAAAAAATGTGTTGTAGTGATAAAACATATATAACATAAACTTTACCATTTTAACCATTTACCAGAATGAGTTTGCTCTCTGATAAACCTCAGGAAAAAAGGAAAAAAACAAGAAAATAACAGAAATGAGAGAGATGACACTATAGGTTTTTTGTTGTACTGAGGGTTGAACACAGGACCTCACACATGCTACCAAGTACTGTACCACAGAGCTATGTTCCCAGACTTTTTTAAGACAGAGCCTTGCTAAGTTTCCTGGGCTGGTCTGGAATTTGAGATCCTACTACTCCTGACTCCTGAGTAGCTTGAATTATATAGACATGCACCACCACCCAGAGCACTGACATCAATTTTTGAAGTTGAAATTTTGTTACCATTCTTCCTCCAAAATAGTAAAAGCACGCAAGCAAACAAAAACTCTTCAGGCCCAGATGGCTTTACTGGTGATTTTTATCAAACTTTTAAGGAAGAAATAATATTAATTGTATACAAAATTTTCTCGACAACTGATTGGGAGGGTCTACTTCCTAACTCAATTCATGAGGCCAGGACTATCTTGAGACCAAAACCAAAGACATTACAAGAAAATTACGGATAAATATCCTTCATGAACATAGATGCAAAAATTTTCAACAAAAACTTTATTTTACATACAGATGTTCCTCAATGTACAATGGGCTTACATCCCAGTAAACCTAGAGTAAGTGGAAAATATCCTAAGCTGAAAATGCATTTAATCTATCTAATCTACTGAACATCATAGCTAGTTTAGACTTGTCTTTCTTAAATGTGCCCAGAGCACTTATGTTATAGTTTACAGTTGGGCAAAATCACCTAATGAAGAGTCTGTTTTATAACTGAAGTGTTGACTATCTAATGGAATTTATTGTACACTGAACATGAGAAACAAAATGATTGTATGGGTATAAGAGACAAAAATAGGTGTTTTGTAGTCATGATGGAATATAAAAACACATTAACACAATAATCAAAAAATGCTGGCGACACAGTACACTATAGAGTATCAGTTGTTTGCCTTCATGATTGCATGGCTGATTGGGAGCTAGAACTTGCTGCTGTGGTACAGCATCGCGAGAATATCCTACCACATGTTAGTAGCCTGCGAAAAGATTAAAATCTAAAACCTGAAGTTGTTTCCAATGACTACATACTACTTTCACACCACTATAAAGTCAAAAATCCCTAAGTAAGCCAGCAACTACCTGTTACTGCTGAATTCAACAATACACAACGATGATCTACCATGACCAAATGGGGTTGGGATGCAAGGTTGGTTCCACATGTGAGCGTTATTCAAAGTAATCCACCAAATCAACAACTTAAGAGACAAAAAAGTACTTGACAATATTTAATATCCATTTGTGATAAAACTTACATCAAATTGATAATAGATAAGAATTTCCTAAACTTGATAAAGGGCATCTATGAAAAACCTATAGCTAACATAATACTTAATGGTGAGAGACTGGATGCTTTCCCTCTATGATTAAGAAGAACAGGAGGATGTCTACTCTTTCTAGTCCTATTCAATATCATCCTGAAGGTCTTAACAGATACAAAAGGGCAGGTAAAAAAGTAAGAAGATATATAAATTAGAAAGGAAAAAATAAAACTGCAATTATAGGTGGCATGATTTGTACATGGAAAACTCCATGTAGAACCTACAAAAAAGCTAGTAGACTAAAGTCAACATAAAAGTTAATATACAAAAATCAATTGTATTTCTATATATCAGAACTGAGCAGGTGGATAAACAAATTGGCAGTGTCTTATAAAGTTAAGTATACACTTAACATATGACCCAGCAGTCTTACTCCTAGATATTTATCCAAGTGAAATAATTACACGTTTATAAAGATACAGGGGAGCCTTGACTTACGAACTCAATTGTTTGCGAGGGCTGGTTTTAATACAAGTTAGTTGTAAATCAAGACTTTTTTCCATAAAGAATAATGGAAATACCCATAAATGCATTTGAAACCTCCCAAAGCACCTCTTAACTAATTCATAATAAAAAGGGGATGTACAATATGCACAATTTGCCAGAAACATTTTCAGAACTAAAAACTGGTCTAAGGTTGTCTATTTCTGTCTTTTCTTTAACACTGTTCTGTAGTATGACATGACACTGTCATGAAGCAAGTGAACGCAATGATTCGCTTTTTTCTGTCTGGGTGTCTTCTCTGCAAATGTTTGTAGCTCTGTCCATTTTTTCAGGATTTCCTTTATTTCAGAAGAACTTTGCTGCACTGATTGTTGCTACTCCCCCTCCTCCTCAGAAAGCTCCTCAGCTGCATTCTCTGTTGCTCAGCCAGAAGCTGCCCTGTAGACAGTTCCTCTGCGTGTTCCTCCACCGGTTCCTCCACATCACCACTGTACCTGCAAGCCCATGGACTCTGCTATGCCGACACTGTCATGCACCACAGGGTCAATGGAAGGCTCAGGCTCCTCTACACAGACTTTAAAGTCTCTGTCCTGTATAATTTTAGGCCACACTTTCCTTTTTTCTGAGACAAGGTCTCACTATGTAGCCCAGGTGGGCCTCAAGCTCAGCGATCCTCCTGCTTCAGCCTCCCGAGTGTTGGGATTATGGGCATGTGCCACCATACCCGGCCCATACTTTCTTCCAGGCAGATCTCAGGGTCCTTAGAGACCCATTGGCCCAGGATTTCTCAATTAACCCCACACAGGAAAGGACATGGTAATGATCCTTCCAGAACTCTTTAAGGGTTAAATCTGTATCAGAGACCATCTGGAAGCAATCCAGGAACAGTTCCTTGGTATATAGCTTCGCAATTAGCTATAACCTATTGGTCCATAGGCTGCAGTAGAAGAGTTGTATTAGGTGGGAGGAACTTGACTGAGAGCCATGGGAATTCCTCAGCCAATTCTTCTAAATCTCATGGGTAAGCAGGAGCATTGTCCATGATGAAGAAAGCCTTGACTGGTAAACTTTTGTCCTCTAGATATTTCTTAATAGTAGGACAGAAAGCCTCCCTGATCCACTCAAGAAAAAGTATTCTTGTTACCCCGGCTTTTGTGTTAGATCACCACATAACCCCTAGCCTGTTCTTTATGACTTTATGCTTTCTCACCACTCTAGGGGTCTCAAAGTGATAAATGGAGAGGTTTTATCTCGAGGTCACCACTCACATTGGTACATAGCAATAAAGTTAGTCTACCCTTCACAGGCTTGTGGCCTGGCATTTTCTTCTTCCTGGGTAACGCATGTTCTCCTGGGCATTTTTTTCCAGAAAAGGCCAGTTTCGTCTCAGTTGAAAACTTGATGAGAGCAAAAGCCATTTCTCTGTGTCATCATTTCAAAGTGGTGTGTGTCATTTTCAGCAGCCCTTTTATCAGCACTGGCTGCTTCACCACGCCTAGTTACGTTATGAACCCCAGTTCTCGCTTTAAAATTGTGAAACCACCCCTTACTGGTATGAAATGTTTCACCATTATCACTCATTGATGGATTATCCTTTATGAGATCTGCATTTTCTGCCCTAGCCTCTTCATAAATTATAGACTCATATAGGCTATCACCTGCCATCCTCCTTTCATTTATCCACACTAATATAGCCTTACTACCTCATTTAACACTGTTGATCATGACTTAATAATTAGAGTAACACCTTTAGCAACACAAGGCTTCGTTATACAGATCTTTTCTCTGTAAGGTTGTGTAGATGATAGATTTTGACATGCTGTACATGTTAGTGAGATTGGTCACATAACGCCACTTTCATATTTCTCCACAATTTCCTTCTTTTTGATTGTGACTGCTTTGTTTACTTTCCCTTCCTTCCTTAGCTTCCTTTCTAGTATTTTGGGGGGCCATTTTAATAATAGTAATCGTAGCGATTATATAAAGCACAGATGGAAATCTCGTCCATAAACACGCGCCTCTGGGCTCAGGCTGAGGCTTATATATGCTTACATATGCTTTTCTGGCCTTGCAAGTCTTTGTTTATAACGGCACAAGTGGCTGACATTTGGGTTATAACTCAAGACTTTGGTCAAAAGCTAAACCTAAAATACTCTTCATAACCCAAGTTGTTCCAAGTTGTTCATAGGTGAGGGTCCATTGTACCTGTATGTGAGGTTTTTTTTAAAATAGTAATTCTATTCATGGAACGGTTAATTTTGGGCATCGACTTGCCTCAATTAAAGAATACCTACAGAACAGGAGAAGCGTTATTTCTGGTGTATTGTGGGGGTGTATCTAGAGGAGACTAGCACTGTGGTAAGCAGAATGAATAGGGAAGATTATTCTTCAATGCGGTATTTGGGTGGGCTTCCACACAGAATAAAAAAGGCAGAGAAAGGGCAAACGAAGGCAAACATATTTGTATCTTTTAGGAAACAAGGCTTTGAGGTAGAACTTCAAATGTTGTAGTGTTTACTTCTAGACCAAAAGAAAGCTATTTCTCACTATCTGTACCTTCACTCGAGCTGCGGTGCCCTCCATTCCACGGTTCTGAATCTCCTTCCGTTTATCTGCAACCTCCCGTTGCCTTTGGAGAGCGTCCTTGAGACGCTTGTTGGCAGCTGCTGCCTAAATAAAAAGGGCACACAGTTATGTTGAATGAAGGGTAATAAGAAGAACATTCTAACTTTACAGCGTATTAGTAGAAAAAGACATTCTGGGTTTAAGTTCCTACAGGAACCAGGTTTATAAGTCTCCATGGATGTAATACCAGTGAATAGTTACTACTTTAAAACATAGGGGAGAAACACATTTCAAGGACGTTCTGCATATAAAAATGCCTGGAAATGTGACATATCAATATTACTCTGGTTTTTGGAATGAAACCCAATTAGAAAAAGAATCCTTATTTGAGAAGTACCATTTCCCATCATGTTTTTCTCTTCACAGTTCATAACACATAACAGATTAAGATTTAGGAATTACCAGTCAAGATTGATATCCCTGATTTCTTAGAACACTGACAGCATCTAAACCTGAAGATGACAAGACCTTGGCCTAGCACACTGGATTTTTTTTACCTACCTCCTCAGTTTTACGTCTGAGCACATTGGACTGCTTCTGGAAGTTTCTTTCAAGTTTGAGCAGCTCGTATTGCCTCTTACGGTCCTAATAAGAAAAAAGTCAGATCTTAATTGCTGTTCAGCTAGCTAAAATAAAACCTTATATCTAAAAATACATAGGGCTAAATACAATATAGCAAGCTGCCTTCAATTTTCCAATCAGAGTTAAGAACTGATACTTCCAAAAGCGTGTTTGTATGTAAAGGAAATATGGTTTCCTTGTTCAGCTCATCGCTCTGTAGATAAGTTCTTGAAGTCTCTGTCTTAAATTAATTATTGGCAATATCATAGAATGTAAGACCTAGAAGGAACTTTAAAGATCATCTAATAAAGTGTGTTCTACATAGGAAGCTATTGATAAAGCCAGGACTCAGGTCTCCTGATAAACAGACCAGTACTCTTTCCCTCCCTCAAACATACCGGTCCACTCATGTTAAAATACAGCGGCTGGCATAAAGGAGGAAGCCTATCATATAGCCAACCACCTATAAATTAAGGTAACACGCCAGTAAAGAGATTTCCACGCCTGAACAAAACTATTTGTTACTGAATAAGGTATGTCTTTTCTCAGAAATTAAAGATCAAGAAGACAAGAAATCTGAGCACACATTTACTGCATTGATTGCTTAGCTCCTTCCCTATGTTACTAATCCATTAAGCTGCTAATGGCTTCACTTGTTCCTTATTTAATCTGGACACACAGTGAGCCATTTTAGTCATGCATTTGCCGGCATACAAGAACAATTCATTTCCTTTAACCCATTTACACACTAGGCACTGTGCTAGGTTTCTGGCATACAGGGATGAATATGATGTGATTACTACTCTTACAGAGAGCACTAGAGAATACAAACACTGTACCATACATTTGTAATAAAGTATGATGTGTGTTGAGAGATCAAGAGAATTAAAGAAATGCAGCCAGGAGATTAAACTAGTCCAGTGAAAAGAGAAAACCTAGCACTCTTCTCACCACCAATCTTCCTGAAATAAGGATCTGTATTTAGTGCTTTCACTTGTCATTACTCTTCATTCTATAATCCCCTTGAAAAAAGTTCTTACCACTGTCCTGAAATCTCACACTTACTAAATTTAGTGGGCTTTTACAGTCCTGACCTTTGTTGGCTTCTCTTACCATCATTAGCACTCCCAGGAACGTTCCCACAGCATCCCAATTCTTTTTCAACCTTACAAATCCCATTGCTTTCATTCTTATATGAAATAAACAGGTTCCCCTCTTTGTCTATATACTCTTCATCTCCATGATCTCATTACTCCCATGGTTTCAGTGTACATCTATGCAAGACACTTCCCTAATTACTAAGTCCAGCCCAACACCTTCCTTGAATCTGGTTTGCACTATTATCTTTTAGGACTCTCTGTACCAAAGATAATTTTCCTACAACCAAATTTATTACTTCAAACTATCTGTTTCCTTTGACTTTGCATTAACTCAAAAGCATGGAGTAAATTTTGAGGCTCTCTTCACTTCCTAGTTTTTGTAAAGGCAAGTTTTGCATTTGTCATCAATAAAATCATTCTATAAATGTTGAGTAAGCATTATATGCTAGTCACTTCTAGCCAGTGGGAATATATAAGTGAACAAAATAAAGATTCTTGCCAGTGGGAAGTATACATTCCTGTACAATGTAAACCTGTCATCACTTTACTTTTGTTTATGGTGCAAAAGCTTTCACTTCTGTCTAACTTAACTCTTTTCTTCTTCTGTTTTTTAAAAAAGTTTTATTGAAATATAAGTCATCTATACAATTCATGCACTTAAAAGTATATGATTCAATGTTTCCTGGCATGTTCAGAGTTGACATAACTAACATCACAATCAATGTTAGAATATTTTCATTATCATGAACACAAGTCTCATGCCTTTTAGCTATTACCTCACAATTCTGTCGCCCTGTTCCCCAAACCCCTAGGCAACCACTAATTTCTTTTGTCTCTATAGATTTGCCTATTCTGGATACCTGATATAGACAGAATCCTGTATGTCCTCTTTTGTGACTAGCTCCTTTCACTTAGCATAATGTTTTCAAGGTTCATCTGTGTTATAGCATGTATCAGTAATTATTACTTTTTATGGCTGAATAATATTCTATTAATTGGACATATATTTTACTTATCCATTCAGCAGTTGATAGACACTAGGTTCTTTCCCATATTCTGGCTACTATGAATACTGTTCTACAAACATGTCTGTGCAAGTTTTGGCATGGACTTGTTTTCATACCTTCAGGGTAGACAGAACTGAGTGGAATTATTGGATGATATGATATCTCTATATCTACTTAACCTCCTAAAAAACTGCCAAATTGTTTGCCAAAGCAGCAGCAACATTTTCTTGTCCCACCAGCAATGTATGAGGTTTCTAATTTCTCTACATTCATGCCAACAGTTGTCTAACTGATTCTAGAAATCTCTGTGGGTGTGAAATAGTATCTCATTGTGGTTTTGACTGTAATTTCCCTGATGGCAAATGACACTGAGCACCCTTTTGTGTGCTTATTGCTTTGTTCATTTAAAAACTGGGTTATCTTTATTACTGAGTTTTAAGAGTTCTTTATATACTTTAAATACAAGATCTTTATCAGCTATATGATTTGTAAATATTTTCATCCACTCTTTGGGTTGGTTATTCACTTTCATGATGGTATTGTTTATGGTGCAGAAGCTTTTACTTCTGTCTAATTTAATTTCTTCTTTGGCTGTTTGTGCTTTGGGTGTCATATTTAAAAAAAAACATTACCTAATCCAAAGTCACAAATATGACTTCTAACAGATTTATAATTTTAACTCTTTCAGGTTTTCATCTATTTTTAATTTTTATATATGGTATGAGGCAAGTTCCAATCTCATTATTTTATGCATGACTATACAGTAGTCTCAGCATCATTTATTGAAAAGATTATTCTTTCCTCACTGATTTGTCTTAACAATACTGTTAAAAATCAATTGACCATAGCTGCATGAGTTTATTTTTGGACTCTCAATTCTATTCCACTGATCTAGGTCTATCGTTACATAGTACTATAGTCTTACTTAATGTTGCTTTGTAGGAAGTATTAAAATCTGGAAATGTTACAACTCCAAATTTATTTTTCTCTTTGATTGCTTTGACTCTTCTGAGCTCCTTGCATTTCTTTTTTTTTTTTTTTTTTTTTTTGGTTTTTCTCCGGTACCGGGAACCGAACTCACGACCTTGCGCTTGCCAGGCAGGCGCTTTTGCCGCTGAGCTAAATCCCCAGCCCCAGCTCCTTGCATTTCTATATGAAGTCAGACTGAATTCTGATTGAGAGTTTGTTTAATCTGCAAATCAATCTGAGGGATAACCAATATTTAGACTATTAAGTCCTCCCATCCATGAACATGAAGTATTCTCCTATTTATGACTTTGTATTTAGGTCTTCTTTAATTAATTCAATGTTTTGTAGTTTTCAGTGTGCAAATCTTACACTTCTTTTGCTACATTTATTCCTGTTTTTTATTCTTATTGATGTTATTATAAATGGAATTGTTTTCTTCATTTTATTTTCAAATGGTTAAATTCTAGTGTATAGAAATACAACTAATTTTCTTATATTGATTTTGCATCCTTCAAACTTGCTAAACTGATATATTAGTTCTGATACCTTTTTAGCGACTTGCTAGGATTTTCTACCTGCATGATAACGTCATTTGCAAACAGAGATCGTTTTAGTGGCTGGAATCTCCAGGGGAATGCTGAATAGAAGGGGTAAGAACAGACAACCTTGTCTTGTTCCTGATCTATGGGGGTAATTTTTTCTGTCTTTTACCATTGAGAATAATGGTAACAGTGTCCTTTATCAGGCTGAGGAAGTCTCCTTCTGTTTCTGATGTCTTGAGTTGTTTTATCTCGAGTGTTCAATTTTGTCAAGTGCATTTTCTGGGTCTATAAGGATTGTGTGGTTCTTGTCCTTTATTTCACTGGTAAAGAACATTATTTTAACTTACTTCCAGGTGTTAAACACGTCTTCTTTTATTTTTTACTCCCAGCTACTTGGGAGACAGGATCAAGAGGATTGCAAACTTCGAGGCCAGCCTGGACAAACTTCACTTGGTCATGGTGTATCATTCTTTTTTTTTGCATGGTATTAGGGATGAACCCAAGGACCATCTACCACTAAGGTACAGCCCCAGCCCTTTTAAACTTTTGTTTTGAAACAGGGTCTCACCAAATTGTCCAGGCTGGCCTCAAAGTTTGCAATCCTCTTGTTCCTGTCTCCCAAGTAGCTGGGATCACACCATCTGGCCCTTTCTTTATTTTTAGTATAGGCATTTACATCTGCAAAATCTCTTTAGCCAGGTGTGGTGGCACATACCTGTAATCCCAGAACTCAGGAGGCTAAGGCAGGAGGATTGCTGCGGGTTTGAAGCAAGCCTGGGCTACCTAGTGAATTCAAAAGCAGCCTGAGAGGCTGGGGATTTAGCTCAGTGGCAAAAGCGCCTGCCTGGCAAGCGCAAGGTGGTGAGTTTGGTTCCCGGTACCGGAGAAAAACAAAAACAAAACAAAAAAAAAAAACAAAAGCAGCCTGAATTACACAGTGAGACCCTGTCTCAAAAAAAAAAAATCCCCTTAACTACTGCTTTTACTGCATCCCGTAAATTTTGGTATGTTGTCTGTTTTCATTTATCTGAAAGTAATTTCTGCCTTTCCCATGACTTCTTTTTTGCCCTACTATTTATTTAGAACTGTACTGTTTAATTTCTTATTTGCGAACTTTCAAATTCCTTTCTTCTTTTTCTACAATTCAAGTTTATTGGTACCACTTAGATATACCTAATGATCACTTAGATATACCTAATGATCACATTCGTCATAGGGAATTTGTACCTGTACGTGATATATCCTGGTTCCTCTTTTTTGCCTTTCTTCTATTAACTTCCAATTTTGTATCATTGTGGTAAGATTAGGCTCTGTATGGTTCCAATTCTTTTAATATTTATTTGAGGCATGTTTTATGGTGTAGCATATGGTCTATCCTGGAGAATGTTCCTTATGCACTTGAGCAG